CGAATAGCATTTCTCGGACACGTGATCTCTGGGGAAGGAATCTCAAATGGATCCATCGAAGATTGAGGCCGTAATGAAATGGCCGAGACCAACGATGGTAACAGAGGTTCGAAGCTTTCTGGGTTTGGCAGGATATTATCGTTGTTTCGTGAAAGGGTTTTCGGCAATAGCGACACCGTTGACACATTTGTTGAAAAAGGAAACGAGATTTGAGTGGACCGATAAATGTGAAAGAAGTTTTCAGGAATTAAAGCATAGATTGACAACGGCACCGGTGTTGACTATTCCATCAGGACCCGGAGGATATGAATTTATAATGATGCGTCGTTGAAAAGATTGGAGTGTGTACTCATGCAAAATGGACAAGTAGTGGCCTACGCATGAAGGCAGTTAAGATCGCATGAGTTGAACTATCCGACGCACGATTTGGAGTTAGCTGCAATAGTATTCGCCCTCAAGATTTGGCGATACTATTTATGCGGAGAGAAATTTCAGATTTATACCAACCATCAGAGCCTCAAATATTTATTTTCTCAAAAGGAACTTAATATGAGGCAGCGTCGTTGGATGGAGTTGCTTAAGGATTATGATTGTGATATTTTATATCACCCCGGAAAGGCCAACCGGGTAGCCGATGCATTGAGTCGGAAGTCAAGCATCGCACATTTGATGATCAAGGAATGAGCATTGTTAGAAAAAGTACGAGACTAGGAGTTTAGATTCGAAGTAAGTCAAGTCTCGAGCTTGCTAGCCACGCTAAGTATTGAACCGGAGATCCAGGCTAAGATTAAGACTTTGCAGTCTACGGATCAAGAAATCCAAAGGGTTCTAGAGTTGGATGATACTAAAAGAAAGCCGGACTTCCAGATATCCGAAGACGGGATACTGAAGTTCCGTGGATGATTATGTGTGCATGACGATGCGAAACTTAAGGAAGAAATTTTGTCAGAAGCGCATCGTAGTAGTTATAGTATCCACCCAGGTAGTACCAAAATGTATCAGAATTTGAGGCAGTACTATTGGTGGAATGGTATGAAGGTAGACATAGCCAGACATGTGGCCAAGTGTCTGACGTGCCAGCAAGTGAAGGCACAACATTGTAAGCCCGGAGGATTATTGCGACCTTTGGAAATCCCAGAATGGAAATGGGAGCATATAACTATGGATTTTGTGACGGGATTACCAAGGAGCCAAAGAGGCCATGATACTATTTGGGTGATTGTCGACAGATTGACAAAGTCGGCACACTTTTTGGCTGTGCGAAAGGACTTCGCATTAGATCGATATGCCGAGTTATATGTGCAACAGATAGTTCGTTTGCATGAGGTACCAGTGACTATTACCTCAGATCGTGATCCTAGGTTTATCGCAAATTTTTGGAAAAGTCTATAGATGGCATTAAGATCAAAGCTACAGTTTAGTATAGCTTTCCATCCACAAACAGATGGCCAGTCTGAGAGGACGATTCAGACTTTAGAGGATATGCTTAGGGCATGTGTATTGGATTTTTAGGATAAGTGGGAAGAGCAATTGCCCTTAGCAGAATTTACCTATAATAATAGTTTTCAGCAGAGCATCAGAATGGCGCCCTTTGAAGCGCTATATGGCAGGGCCTGTAGGACGCCCGTGTGTTGGGACAAAGTAGGAGAAAGGAGTATAACCGGGCCAGAGTTAATTCAACAATCAATCGAGGCTGTTAAGGTGATTCGTGAAAGGCTGAAAACAGCTCAAAGCCGTCAAAAGAGTTATGCAGACAGAAGGCGAAGACCTTTGGAGTTTCAAGTAGGGGATCACGTATTCTTTAAGGTAACGCCCATGAGAGGACTATCCAGGTTCGGTAAGAAAGGGAAGTTGAGTCCGAGGTACGTGTGACCTTTTGAGGTTTTTAGAAAGGATTGGAGATTTAGCTTATCGCCTTGCACTTCCGTCAAATTTATCGTAAGTGCATAATGTGTTCCACGTATCGATGTTGAGGAAATATGAACCGGACCCAACTCACGTGTTGAATTATGAAGAGATAGAAGTCGATGACACGATGTCAAATGTCGAGAGACCGATAAGGATTGAAGATCGGAAAGAACGGGTTCTAAGGAACAAGACGATCCCATTGGTCAAGGTTGTTTGGGAACACCACGCGACAGAAGGCGCAACGTGGGAAAGCGAAGAGCAAATGCAGCGTCAATACCCCTACTTATTTGAGTAGTTAGTGTAATTTGTAAATTTCGAGGACGAAATTTTTATAAGGGGGGAAGCGTTGTGACATTTTGAAATCCGACCTACTTGGGATATATGAAATGAGTAGTTTATGGACGTGCTTGTAGTTAGATCTCGCCCGGAATTGATCACTTCGGGAATACTAACCGATAGGGAAAGGCTAAATAGGGATTTAAATTCGCGCGACCAAAGAACTCGATCGTGAATCGACCTTCGACCTTGAAAATTGTCGAGGTGACATTTTGAGCCACTGAAGGCCGATCCAAGGATAACTAGGGATCAGTTCGCCACTATCATATTAGTGGATCGCGGGTGATTCTGCTAGACCACAAAATGAATTAACGAATGACCCTAAACCTATACCAAACGATCGTGCCTGCCGGATCTAGCGATCGATCCTCGCGATTAAGTGACAACCGAGGTCGTCACAACCCGAGTAAACTTGTACGTGGCATGATTCAGTATCGACCACGGGTCAAATGCGCGAATTTCCCCAAAAGCCACCCGTTAGTACGAGATATGCGCAAGTTACGTTATTCAGAACTTAAGCATTAATTAGAGACCAAGTTGGGCATTGGAAATTTAGAAAGTCACGATAGATCATTTGGACAATATTGTCATTTGCTCGGGTAACCTTGGATTTGTCCGAATACTTCAGAAAAATTGAATTTCGGCGAGAAACGGAAAATGACCATTTTACCCCTAGAAATTTGTTAAGGCTAATGTAATTTGGGAAGGGCATTTTGGTAATTTCGCATTAGCCTTAGAATTAGAGTTTTTTGGACAATTTTGCCCTTGGACTTTTTGAAAAATTCCAAACTTGCCCTTGGATTTTTGGAAAAGATTCGATCCGAGCCGTCGATCTCAAGATAAGATCGAATCTAAGCCGTTGATTGGATTTGTGAGAGAAGGGCAAGATGGTCTTTTGGCCTTCAATTATTGGCTTGGATTATTTAAGCCCATTTTTCCCTCTCTCTCTTCACTTTCTCCCTCTCTCGGCTCCCTCTCCTCCCTCACCGACCGACCGCCCCTCCCCCTTGCCGCGCCGCCGCTCACCGGCCACCATCCGCCGTGCCACCGCCGTCCCGCTACCGAACTGCCGCACCACTACCCTCACGCTGTCCTTCTCTCTCTCTCTACCCTCCCGTGGCCGTGAACCGTGGCCAAGGAAGCCGTCGTCCAGCCAACCGCCGCCGTCGCCGCCCCGCTCGCCGGTGCCGAGTGCTCGCCGTCGCCGATCGCCGCCGATCAGCCGCCCCCTTCCCACTCTAGCCGAGCCAGTCTAGAGTTTGTGTAAGTCACGCCCTAAAATCTATTTAGGACTTCGGGTATCAACGGACGAATTAGGGCTAAATCGGATTAATTAGTGTCGGTTTATGGGTTATTTGGGACCGTTTAGGGGTTATGTTGGTATTCTGAATTAGAAATTGATATGGGCTGATTTTAGATTGTGAAATGATGATGTTTCGGGGCTGAGACGATGTGAAATTGGGTGCTGGAAATTGGGCTCGCATTGAAGAGCGTATGATTCAATTTCGAGGCAAACGGTATCGGTTTGGTGTGTTGATTTATGGCTGAATTGTGGTGACGATTCGGGTTAAAAATGGATGACGAAATGTTGAATTTTGTGCCCATGTAGTGGCTGTGTTTGTGGGCCCGCTAGTGGCCTTGTATGTTTGTTGTACCGTGACTTGATTGATTGAAATGTGTTTCGTTATGTGCACGCTTTGGCCGAATTGAAATTTACTATCAATTGGCCGTGTTGGGTGTTTATTGAGCTTGAGAAATGCGTGGTTTGATGCGTGCACGGGCCAAGTGTGATTGGCCAATATGTTGGCATGTGGGTGTTGAATGTGTGAACGAGTGAGAAAGCGAGTGGGGTGCGATACTTGTGATAATGGAAATCCCTGAGGCGGTATCATTACGCGGGGAATTGATCCGTCCAGAGGCGGTACGACTACGTGGGACGATGCCCGGTATTACCGGAGGACGGCCAACCTGAGGCGGTACCATTACGCGGGTTGTGTCATAGGTGGTGGGTGTTGAGCCTGAGGCGATACCACTACGCGGGCAAGATACACGGCCTGAGGCGGTACCAATACGCGGCCCTGAAGTGTTGTTATGAGTTAGTCGCAGTGAACCTGAGGCGGTACTATTACGCGGGTCACTGGCAAGTTGTGGAGAAATAATGTGATGAGACAGGAATGAGTGTGGGAAATGTAACAAGAACGTGCATGTGATTGGAAATTATACTACTGTGGCTAACGTGCATGTCGCACGCAGGAAAGGTCCAGGTAAGTATAAATTGTGGGCCTGCGATGTGATGGCTAAGTGTGATTGTGATTGTGGTTGTCTGGAGGTACGTGATAGCCTAGGTGGGGTTTAGGGTGTGTGCTTATTGAGATGTAATCTCATGGTTGTTTCAACCAACAATTTCAGAACCCCGGCCTGAGCAATGAATCTCCCACCGCCGCCACCTGAGCGTTTTGGAGTACCGATGCACACCGACCACAATGTTGTAGAGTACCCGATAGACGATAATATGACCTGGATCAAGCATACCACAGTAGTCTGGGTAGACGTAGGATTACCCCTTTGGCAGGCCCATACCTATACCGCTTGGTTCTTTCGAGACGGGGTAGATGAGTTTGGCCCCGTCCGTGGATTTGATGTCCTCTTTGACGAAGTTGGAGATTGGGACCCGGCAGCCATACTCCCTCCCGACGGCGAGATGACGAATCTAGAGACTAGCCTGGCACAGTCTGGACTTTAGCCTGCGCCTGCAGCACTTGAACCTTCGGGGGCCGAGCATGAACTAGAGCCTGAAGAATCCCAGGCGGGGTATGATCCAATGGATATGGACCTCGAAGTAATACCCAAAGAAGAACCAGAAGATGAAGACCCTGAGGACAAACCTGAAGAGGCACCGGAAGAAGAGCCTGAAGAGGAACCAGAGGACGTACCCGAGTATGAGCCATAGTACGATCCTGAGTTTGTGCCAGAGGACGAGTTGGACGAGGAGCCAATCAAAGAGGAGCGGGTTGAGGTTCTAGTAGAGTCGGGTGATATAAACAACCCGATTAAGATAGAGGCCGAGTCAGAGTCCTCAGAGGAGCATACCGTTCAAGGGGATTCAGATTCGAATGATGAAGAATCAGATTCTGAGTGGACGCCAAGCAGAGGGCGTAGGGGTTAGTGTAGGGGTTGAGAGTAGGCTTTTTGAAGTGTACCATTTTTGGTGATAGGGTACCCAGGCTATCGATCCTTTTTGACATCGGTGATTTATAGTATAGAAGTTCGGTGTGCTTGTATATATTGTGGTTTGTAAATTGTGGATATTATATAAGTTTGAATTAGTAATGGATGTGGTTAATCTCCCCTTGTTTTACCCCGGTTGTTATTGTTCGGGTATTGATTGTGGCTTTCGGCGATGGACATAAATCTCGATAAGTTGAATTGGGTCGGCGATACTCAGGATGTCGCATCATTCGACTAGAGAAGTGTGTCGCGTGCTCGATGGAGTTTGGGGCGTGACACCCGTTGAATGAATTATTGTGTTAATTCAGCGCCTAGGACTAGGCGGTATAGTTGGCCTAGGTTTCTAATTTATGAGTCGAATTATAGGTGGTAGGCAGTGGTAGAAATCGTGAGGATGAGTTCACGAGGTAGAGGGACTGGGGTCCGTCCGTCACCACGAGCCCCCGCTGCAGGGAGATCCTAGAATGGATGCGGTCATGAGGACCCTAGAAGAAATTGGTAATCTGATAGGACGGCAGACTCAGGAACGAGCTGCCACTATTGCCCAAGCTGTCGAGGCCGCTGTGGCCGCTGCTGCCAATAATAATAATGGAAATCAAGGACGGGGGCAAGTGAATGTAAATAGATAAATGCACCAATTAGTCGAGCAGTTCCTGAAATTAAAGCCTCTTAAGTTTGATGGTAGAGGCGATCTTGAGGCTGCATCGCTTTGGGTAGAGGAGTTGGAAAAAGCTTTTGAGGTATTAGGATGCACTGAGGAAGAGAAAGTAACATTGGCGGTGTACCAACTCCAGGGAAATGCAAGTGATTGGTGAAAAGCCACCAGAGGAAGGGTGTTCCCGGCTGGTACCGCCCAGACTTGGGCGATGTTTGTGGAAACCTTTAATGGTAAATATTTTTATGAGAGTGCCTGGGAACAGAAATTGTTTGAGTTTATGAGGCTACGTCAGTGGCAGAGAACGGTGGATCAGTACGAGGTCGAATTTGCTCGGTTGTCTAAGTTCGCCCCAAAAATGGTTGAGGACCCGTTGGATAGGGCTCGAAGATTCCGAGACGGCTTGAAACCGAACCTTCGCAGCCAAATGATTTCATTGAATTTGAGAGAGTATAACGAGATTTATGATAGGGCTCAAGCGATTAAGCGGGACTTGGCGAATAGAGCCGCCGCTTCTGGGTCGAGATTTGCTCAGGGTAGGGACAACGGTCAATTAGGAAAGAGGCCAATGACGGGTAATCGATGTTTTGTCCCTCATGCTAGAAGGAATATAGGGAAACCGACCCGTTTTCAGAATAGTCCATGTCGGGTGTGTGGGGAAAGACATGGAAATGGACATTGTCCAACCAGGAGCGGAGCGTGTTTCAGATGTGGCGGATTTGGTTATCATGTAAGGTTTTGCCCCAACCTCAGCCAGAATAGATCGCCTGCGTTGCCGCCACCCCGGAACGGGAACCAAACCGGAGCTGCTCAGACAGCTAATCAGACTAGGCCACAGGCCCAAGAACGGGTGTACGCCATTGCCAGAAGAGAGATTGAGAACGCGCCAGGGGTTGTCATAGGTACGGTTTCTCTGTGCGACCATGCTGCGTATGCTTTATTTGACCCTGGGGCGTCGCATTCATTTATATCTGAGCAATTTGTTGAGTTGACTGGTATAGAACCGCAGTTGCTTGATGTTGTGTTGTGTGTTACAACTCCCTCGAATGATAAGATGCTAGTCTCGTTGGGGTGCCCGAATTGTAAAATTGTGATTGGTGATAAGGAGGAAAGGATTGATTTAGCGGTTCTAGCCATGTATGATTTTGATGTGATAGTGGGTATGGACTGGCTGTCTAAGCAGAGGGCCGTAATGGATTGTAATAGTAGGGTGATCCAATTTAATCCCGTTGGACATCCGGAATTCAAATTTATGGGAAATCGAAGGGGACCCTCGATCCCATGGATTTCGTCGCTAGAAATAACCAAGTTGTTAAACGAAGGGTGTCAAGGATTTCTAGCGGCCATAGTGGACTCGATGGCTGTGGAACCGAGGCTAGAGGACATAGCCGTGGTGTGCAATTATCCCGATGTCTTTCCTCAGGAATTGCCAGGATTGCCACCAGAAAGAGAAGTACAATTCGTAATCGAGTTGGCCCTTGGGACTAAGCTAATTTCGAAGGCACCTTATAGAATGTCGTTGTCAGAATTAAAAGAGTTAAAGGTGCAAATGCAAGAATTATTGGACAAAGGATTTATTCGTCCGAGTGCGTCCCCGTGGGGAGCGTCAGTTTTATTTGTGAGGAAGAAAGATGGATCGTTAAGGTTATGTATTAACTACAGGCAGCTAAATCAGGTGACGATCAAAAATAAATATCCCCTGCCGAGGATTGATGATTTGTTTGATCAATTACAAGGGGCTTCGGTGTTTTCTAAAATTGATTTGAGAACGGGATATCATCAATTGAGGATTAGGAAGGAGGATATACCAAAGACGGCATTTAGGACGAGATATGGACATTATGAATTTACAGTAATACCGTTCGGATTGACGAACGCCCTTGCTACCTTTATGGACTTAATGAATCGGGTGTTTAAGGAGTTCTTAGATCAATTTGTGATTGTTTTCATAGACGATATACTGGTGTACTCGAAAAGCCTAGAAGAGCATGAGTTTCACTTGAGTAAAGTTTTGCAGACTTTAAGAGAGAACGCACTGTATGCTAAGTTTAGCAAGTACGAGTTCTGGCTCAATCAAGTAGCATTTCTCGGACACGTGATCTCTGGGGAAGGAATCTCAGTGGATCCAACGAAGATTGAGGTGGTAATGAAGTGGCCGAGACCGACGACGGTAACAGAGGTTCGAAGCTTTCTGGGTTTGGTAGGATATTACCGACGCTTCGTGGAAGGGTTTTCGGCAATAGCGACACCGTTGACACATTTGTTGAAAAAGGAAACGAGGTTTGAATGGACCGACAAATGTGAAAGGAGTTTTCAGGAATTAAAACATAGATTGACAACGGCACTGGTGTTGACTATTCCATCAGGACCCGGAGGATACGAAATTTATAGTGATGCGTCGTTGAAAGGATTAGGGTGTGTACTCATGCAAAATGGACAGGTAGTGGCCTACGCATTAAGGGAGTTAAGACCGTATGAGCTGAACTAAACGATGCATGATTTGGAATTAACCGCTATAATATTCGCCCTTAAGATTTGGCGACATTATCTATGCGGAGAGAAATTTCAAATATATACAGATCACCAGAGCCTTAAATATCTGTTTTCTCAAAAAGAGTTAAATATGAGGCAGCGTCGGTGGATGGAATTGCTCAAGAATTACGATTGTGATATTTTATGTCACCCCGAGAAGGCCAACCGGGTAGCCGATGCATTGAGTCGGAAGTCAAGCATCGCACACTTGATGGTCAAGGAATGGACATTGTTGGAAAAAGTGCGAGACTCGAAATTTAGATTTGAAGTAAGTCAAGTCTCGAGTTTGCTAGCCACGCTAAGGATTGAACCAGAGATCCAGGCTAAGATTAGGACTTTACAGTCTTCGGATCAAGAAATCCAAAAGATTCTAGAGATGGATGATACCAAGAGAAAGCCGGACTTCCAGATATCCGAAGACGGGATATTGAAGTTCCGTGGACGATTATGCGTGCCTGACAATGCGGAACTTAAGGAAGAAAGTCAGAAGCGCATCGTAGTAGTTATAGCATCCATCCCGGTAGTACGAAAATATATCAGAATTTGAGGCAATACTATTGGTGGAATGGTATGAAGGTAGACATAGCCAGACATGTGGCCAAGTGTCTAATGTGCCAGCAAGTGAAGGCACAACATTATAAGCCCGAAGGATTGTTGCGACCTTTAGAAATCCCAGAGTGGAAATGGGACATATAACTATGGACTTTGTTACGGGATTACCGAGGAGCCAAAGATGCCATGATACTATTTGGGTGATTGTCGATAAATTGACAAAGTCAGCACACTTTTTGGTCGTGCGAAGGACTTCGCATTAGATCGATATGCCGAGTTGTATATACAACAAATAGTTCGATTGCATGGGGTACCAGTGACGATTACCTCAGATCGTGATCCTAGGTTTACCGCCAATTTTTGGAAAAGTCTACAGACGGCATTAGGATCAAAGCTGCAGTTTAGTATAGCTTACCATCCACAAACGAATGGCCAATCTGAGAGGACGATTCAGACTTTAGAGGATATGCTTAGGGCATGTGTATTGGATTTTCAGGGCAAGTGGGAAGAGCAATTACCCTTAGCAGAATTTGCATATAATAATAGTTTTTAGCAGAGCATCGGAATGGCGCCCTTTGAAGCACTATATGGTAGGGCTTGTAGAACACCCGTGTGTTGGGATGAAGTAGGAGAAAGGAATATAACCAGGCCAGAATTAGTTCAATAGTCAATTGAGGCTGTTAAGGTAATTCGTGAGAGGCTGAAAACAGCTCAGAGCCGTCAAGAGAGTTATGTAGACAAAAGGCGAAGACCTTTAGAGTTTCAAGTAGGGGATCATGTATTCCTTAAGGTATCGCCCATGAGGGGATTATCCCGATTCGATAAGAAAGGAAAGTTGAGTCCGAGGTACGTGGGACCTTTTGAGGTTTTAGAAAGGATTGGAAACTTAGCTTATCGCCTTGTACTTCCGCAAAATTTGTCGTAAGTGCATAATGTGTTCCACGTATCGATGTTGAGAAAATATGAACCGAACCCAACTCACG